CCTGACACAGGAATTGGTTCCCTGTTTTAAAAAGACCAAAGAACTAAAATACTGAACACACTGGCTTAGTGATTAGTTGGTAGGCATTCAGCAAATTGCTGTTGGAGGATGGAAGAAATAACTTACATAGAGCCAATTCCTATTATAGAGAGATGAAACGGTCCCTTGAGATAAACAGGAAGAGAGATAAACTATTCTTTACTAAAGAAAATATAAAAAAATAAATTATTTTGTTGTTTGGCTGCATTTGGCAAAATGTACAGAGGAGATGAACTCAGAACGGAATTGGCCAGTTTGCAGGTAGAAATGAGAACAAAGAATTCATACATTCAAGTATTTACTGAGATGTATGAGACAACTTTTTGATTACAAGATGAAAATTAGAAACCCAAAGGTTGATTAAAGCCTAGCTCTGCAGCAAAGATGACTGTCACACCTACTGTTAAGATCTCTGAATGACTATGTGCCTCAGACTACAAAGTCCACTCAAGAGTGTAACAATAGTTAATGCTTCCAATGTGACAAAAGTTATTTTAGAAAAGAGATTAAGGATATGGCTCTCTTACTTAAACCCCAAATGCCCATATTAACCAGAAATTAAGTTCAGAGAGGCATGGGAACAAGAAAGCAAAGAAATGTAGCAAATCAGAAGTACACATTAATTAGATATCACATTTGGGTATTTCCCCTGAGGAGATGAGGACATTCTGTAGGTAGGAAAGCAAGTGAAATGGATATCTAGTAACCCAAAGGCCTGAGTCATCCTTCTAATACTCTGTTAAATTTGCTTACTTTTAAATTCCAGAAGAGTCAGAAATCAATTGTAAAGTGAAGTAACAAAATAACATGCCGTTTTCTCCTAGGGTTGATGCCTACAAAAGGAAAAATGGATATTAACTTGTATGTGGCATTATCTTTTAAAAGTGTTTTTTTAAAATGCAAAAAGATTTTACCTTTTTTGTGGTTAAATGGAAAGAACTATTGAAACAGCAAAACAAAGCAAAGCCTAAGAAGAAAAGAGCCAGAATCATAATTGATAGGAAAGAAAGAGGGTATAGATGGAAGAATTTCAGTTTTTTTTAATGACTTGTATAAAATTCTAGTCCTCAAGTATTTCATGTTTTAGAAAGTTTGATTTATTTCCCACGTCTGGGGTAGGGATGGGGAGTTCATACTATAATAGTCTGGTATTAATTTTGCTATTAAAATATTATAAAGCTGGGTGCAGTGGTGTACACTTGTAGTCTAAGCTCCTCAGAGCTCAGGATTGCTTGAGACAGGTGTTCAAAGCCAGCCTGGGCAACATAGCAAGACACTTGTATATAGGCTACTTATCAGTCTGCTCCTCATTAACAGCTGTCGTATAGCCAGATAGTGCTTGCTTGTAGTCCGTGGCTATAAAGCTGAGCAAGAAGCGCATAGAGTGTTCAACTGTTGGTGTAGCCAATGTATGAGAAAGAAATGTTTTGTAATGTAAGTTGGGGGCTGGGGATTTAGCTCAGTGGTTCCAGTGCTTGCCTCCCAACCACAAGGTCCTGAGTTTGATCCCCGGTACCAAAAAAAAAAAAGAAAAAAAGTCAGACTTACATTCTTTGTCTTGTACAAAGTAAGAAATTGTTAGCTAACATAATGTACTTTGTATTTTATGTATGTATGTATGTATGTATGTATGTATGTATTTATTTATTTTTTGGTACCAGGGATCGAACTTGGGTCCTTGCGCTTGCGCAGCAGGTGGCGAAACCACTGAGCTAAATCCCCGGCCTTGTACTTTGTATTTTAAAAGTAATTTTGCTGTATCCTCGTTTTATAACTTAAATTTTTGATGAAATGTTTAATACAAAATGAAGAGTGTATGAAATACATATATAGCTGGGTGTGGTGGTGCACACCTGTAGTCCCAGTACTTGGGAGGCTGAGGTAGGAGGATCGCTGCATGTTTGAGACCAGCCTGGTGTATGTAGTGAGTTCAAGGATAGCCTGAACTAAATAGCGAGACCCTGTCTTTTAAAAAAATTATATATGTGTGTGTGTGTATGTAACAAAAACGTACATGTTGCCTATCACTCAGGTTAAGATATGCAAATTATTAACTGGTATTTTAGAATACTAAATGTGCCCCTTTCTTACATCCTGTTCTGGTCCCCAAAGGTGCCATTGTCTTGATCTACATATTTTTATTTTCCTCATAGGTTTTTTTATCATTTGTAGAAATATTTCTAGACATATGTTATTTTGAAAAAGTGACTGGAGTACTGTCTTAGTTACTGAGACACAATACCTGACACCCACAACTTAAAGGAGGAAAGGTTTATTTTGGCTCACAGTCTGTAAAGGTTTCAGTCAATAGTCAGCTGACTCCAAAAGAGGGCGGGCGGCATGGCAGAGGCTGGAAGCAGAGAGATTAAGGAGGTGGAAGGAAGACACCTCCCCAGGCCACGCCCCCAGTGACCACCTCCTCCAACCAGTCTTGGCCTCCCTGTCACATTTAACTGTAAACTCATCAGTGGACTAATATACTCATGGGAATCATGCTCCCATGATCCAGTCACCTTGCCCAAACCCCACCTGTGAGCACCTGAGGCTTTGGGGAGATACCTAGATAGAAACCATACAGATACCTAGCTGAATTTGGGAAGGTTATTATTCTAAGCCTCTTAGGAGAAAGCATCCAGATAGAAGATCACCGAGTTTTTGGCGCTTGTCCTTAGATAATCAGTGGCAGTATCAGGAATGAGTTCTTGGAAATCTGAGGCACATCCTGGTCAGTTATCTGGCTGTGCTGCAGTGTGAACTGGCTATTACATATTTATTCAGTTTATATGATCATGAGAAGAGTTCTGTTTTATGGTTTTTGTTTCTAAGCTTATGGTGGTCACCTCCAACACTTACTAGGGGTAGAGCAAAGCAGAACACATTTTGGGGGTGAAATGAATGTCTTCAGTTGGGCCCAGAGAGCAGGGAAGGTGGAGTGAGTAGGTACATCAAAGCCAGCCAGATGTGGGGAGAGTCTGGAACAGGCTCCCCTGGGCCTCTGTCCTTCTGAGAGCGTTTGTGGTCATCATAGTCATGGCAGCGCACCATGATGTGTCAGGATCACTTTCTACTGCCTGGACTGGTTACCGTTTAAGTCTGGTGCATAGCTTGCATCCCAGATCTCGCTTTACAATCTTCCTGAAGATTCCTATTTTGTTTGTCACATGTTGGATTTCCTGGGTCCTAAATTGGCTTTGTTTTTTAAAAAGTTTACTTTTTTTGGATGGGATACCTCTTCAGTTGCATCTTAAGAAAGGTAAATGTTTTGAGATTGTGTCTCAAATATTTTTATTCCATTTTCGTAAGATAGTTTGGGTGCTGAATTCTAGGTTGGAAATACTTTTCTTTCATAATTTTGAAGAAATTGCTCCACTGTCATCTTCCTTCCCCATGTGACTGTTGAGAAGACTGAAGTCTGTTCTAATTTTTTTTGTGTGTGTGTGTGTGTGTTGTAATTCTTTATACTCTGTTTAGCCAGGTTATTTCTAGAGTCATGTTTTTGTCCCCAGTATTATGATATATCACAGTGATGTGTCTCAGTGTAGGTGGTTTTTTTTTGTATTGGGGATCGAACTCAGGACCTTGTGCTTGTGAGGACCACTGAGCTAAGTCCCTGGCCCAGGTGTTCCTTTTTTTACTTGACACTTGGTGAGTTCTTTCAGGTGTGTAGTTTATATACTCAGCTCTAGAACATTTTCTTTATTTACTTCTTCATTTTGTTCTAAACATTTTGTTTTTCTCCTTTTCTGTCCTGTCCTATTTGCTTTTTCTGGATCTCCTGTTACTCACATTTTTGGACCTCTAAGACTGGCCTCTTCATATTGTTTAACATTTTTCTCTGGTTCCTAGAGATTGCTTCATTTTTATTTTTCAAGTCTCTGTTGCTGCTGCTGCCGCCCTTCCTCCTCCTCCTCTTCTTGCTCCTCACTTCCTTTTTCTTCTCTCCTATACTCCTCCCCCTCTTCTTCCACAAAACTCTGTTGTTTCTAGTTCTTCTTCCTGTCCTTCTTGTTCTTTCTTCTTTCTTTTCCTTCTCCACAAAACTGTTGATTCTTTTCCTCCTCCTTTTTCTTCTTCTTCCTCTTTCCTCTTTCTTTTTCTTTTTTTCTTCTTTTTTTTTTTGGTACCAGGGGTTGAACTCAGGACCTTGCACTTGTGAGGCAGGTGGTGGAACCACTGGGCTAAATCCCTGGCCCTCTCTTTCCTCTTTCTTTCTCCCCCTCCCCAAATCTCTGTTGCTGTTTCTTCTCCTCTATGAGCCTCTGTTATTTCTTCCTCTTTTTCTTCTTTTTTCTCCTCCGCATCTTCCTGGTGGTGCTTAGGGATTGAAGCCAGAGCAAGCACTGTACCACTGAGGTACATCTCTGGCCCTATTTCCTCATTTCAACTCTTGTGTTTTTAATTTTCTAGAACTCCTTTATCTTTTATTTTAACATATTCTTTACTAAGTTGTGTCCTCTGTTTTCTGGAGAGAAATATTACCTCTGGGAGGAGACACGCAGTGGTGTTGTCTCTGGATTTGCTGAGCAGTAGTGTGTCCTTCCCAGCGTTTCTTGCTCTCCTGGGCCTGCTGAAGTACCTGGTACTCATTTATAGACTTTCAGTCTTTGAAGATTTTGTTGCTCTTAGCTTTTTGTGTTTGTTGTTCTTACTTCTTCTCTTGTGAGTTTAGGCATAAAATACTTTTACTGCTGTTCTAGTGCCTTTCATAAGGGAATAAAATTATAGGCCTGTTTTTAATCCACCATCTTAATTCTCAAGCCCCAGTTATTTAAAATGTTTAATCCATGTCTTTGGAAACTTTAAAAGATGATTCAAGTTAGCTCTTTTCATCTCTTGTTTTTACATTAATATTTGTAATACTCTTGTGTGGAGTGCTTAGGGCTGTATGAGCTCTAGGATTTATAAGTGAATCTAGAATCTGTGAATAAATGGTTGATTGTTTTTAAAATTTGCTCTTATAGGAAAGTGAAAAGGTTGCTGAGTACCCAGCAGTGATTGTGGAGCCAGTCCCCAGTGCCAGATTAGAGCAGGGCTATGCAGCCCAGGTTCTGGTTTATGATGATGAGACTTATCTGATGCAAGATGTGGCAGAAGAACAAGAAGTTGAGACCGAGAATGTGGAAACAGGTAGACATCTTGTAAAATGTTCATTACTTAACACTTTCTTATTTTGCAAACATTAGCATTATGATTGCCAGGTAAATCTTGTATTGCACAACCTCTTCTTAATGCTATTTAGTATAACTTGGGAACCAGCGAAACATCTCTGTTTCTGAGAATTTATATAGATTTAATAGACTTCTACATTTTAATTCTTAGAGATGTAACAGAGCTTCATGTCATGGGCCCTACAGACAAAATTATGGCTCCATAATGATAAAATAATTATTTGAGGGGGGAGCACAGATTCTGGTTGTTACCTCGTTACTGACCTCTGCTACTTATAGAGGTCAGTAGGTTAGTATATGAAATAACTTTTTAAATTAAAAAGAAGTACAACACTCTCATTCTATAACTCTTTAAAAATCAATATTTTTGGGGCAGAATTTTTTTTCCTTTAGGTCAGAAGTAGGTATCATTGTAGTGATCAGATTCCTTTTCCTTTTTAATCTTAGAAATCTTGGTATTTCCATCTGGCTATGGCTGTACATATCATTGGGGGAGGGTTTGCTATATCCTCAGCCCTTTTTTTATCTTTTCGTTTTGAGATGCTCTTGCTAAATTGGGGTCTTGCTAAATTGCCCAGGCTGGGTTTGGAGTGGTGATCCTCCTTCCTCAGCCTCCCTGAGTGCTGGGATTACAGGTATGCACCACAATACCCAGATAACTATATATTTAGTTGGTGAATTACTATATATTGTTGGTGACCCTATGGCATGCATGTGGTTTTTCTTTTAAGACAAAAGCTGTTAACGTATGAATTGTTTTTCCTAAACTAAAACCTCAGTATTCAGGTTTAATTGCAGTGTTGGTACTTTGTGATAAATAAGTGGGTTTTAGGTTGCAGTTTTGGCACTCACCTCTAAAAGGTTTGCAGTCACTGGTACACTATATAATTCTTGGGGAAATCTTTTCACTTTTGTTGTGACCATAAAAAAATAGAGTATTTTCCTAGAAGGATTGTAGTAACCATTATGCAATAGTAAACATGAAAATTTATTTTAAGCTACCTGTTAATATTGGAAAATAATACTTAATACTTGATTTATAGGCCTAGTAAAATACATTCAGATAAATTTCTATAAATGTAGTAAACCTCACAATTAAAGGTTTTGAGCATTTGATGTCTTTGTGCTCTGCCTGGTGGTACTCTGGGGCTGCTATCTTCTTCTAGTTTAAAGGCTTTTTTTTTTTTTTTGGTTGTTATTGACCTGAGAGATTTGAAATTACTTTGCTCTTGAAAGCAGTGATGATAACTATATTAGCAAATGACAGGTGAAAATACTACTCAGTTTATTTTTATCAAAGAAAGCAACCAGCTGGGTGTGATGTTGAACACCTATAATCCCAGTACTTGAGAGGCAGGAGGATTACATAGCAAGACCCTGTCTCAGGAAAATAAAAAATTAATTAAAAAACCAGGAAGCTGGACATAGTGGTGAATGCCTGTAATCCCAGCACTTGGGAGGCTGATGCAGAGGGATCCCTGCGAGTTTGAGGCCAGCCTGGGCTACATAGTCAGATCCTGTCTCAAAAAGCCAAAAAACCAAAACAAAATAGAAAAACCCCACCAGGAAACCAGACACTTTATAAAGGCTTCTTGACTATGTGTAGGGTGGGACCTTCCTCACAGTAGATAATATGTGCCTCTTTACTAGGGTTTGGAGAATTTTCCAGTCTGAAGGTAGAAGTATAGTGGCTGAAATGAATTTTCTTCTTGGGAAAAAGATAGAATAGCTGAAAGTATTAGATACGATGATATTTTGGAGTATATATTATACTGATTTTACTATTTTCACTTAACCAAATAAAACAAATAGCACAAGAAACCATGTGATAGGTACAGCACCCCTCCCCCCCATACAAAAAAGTGTAATAGTTGAATGAAGTTGAATGAAAAAAAGGGCAGAACCTGTTTGAAATTTCTGGATGATGTTTTGATCAAGTAATAAGGAGAACTGAATTTTGGTATCAAATTAGAAACTTTAAAAAGCTGGGCATGGTGGCATATGCCTAAAACCGCAGCACTTGGGAGGCTGAGGCAGGGAGATTACCGTGAATTCAAGGCCAACCTGAACTACACAGGGAGACCCTGTCTCAAAAAAAAAACACCAGAAAAAACAAAACTTAATACTACAGTGCTAAATTTGCATAAGTAGATAAATGTTTATTAAAATACTGGAGCAGGTCACCAAATGTTATTAGTTGTATAATTGACTGTAAATGTTACATTAATTTAATTTCAGTAAAAGGAATTTTAAATAGGAAGCGAATGTGATCTGCATAAAGAGTTAAATTGCCATCTGGGGATTTAGCTTAGTGGTTCCGCGTGCCCCTGCAAGCAGAAGGACCCGAGTTCGATCCCTGGTACCAAGAAAGAAAGGAAGAGAGAGAGAGAGAGAGAGAGAGAGAGAGAGAGAGAAAGGGAGAGAGAAAGAGGGAGAGAAAGAGGGAGAGAGAGAGGAGAGAGGAGAGAGAGAGAAAGAAAGAATGAAAGAATTAAATTGTCTTAGTTTTCTTGAGCTCTGAGAGTGATGATATTCACGGGCAGAGATGAGGGACTGATGTGAGAGTGGTGGAAGTCTGGGGAAAAGGACTTTTGTGATTGTTTTATAGGTGCCCCTTGAGTACTTGATAATGATTTTTAGACTTACTTTTCTTGACACAAAAGGAAATGTTAGCAAGTCACATACACTATTCTAAAATACTATGAAGTTTTTCTTACGTATCTAATTCCATTTTGACTCATGAGTTTCAGTGTAAATTTTTAAGGGTTGTTTAGTAGTCATAGATTCATTTTTATATCAACAAATCTGAGCTTTATTTTGTTTCTATCTTTTTAAATCCTGCATTTTGAATGAATAAAACTCTAAATTTTCATTCTTCTGATACCTAAATCATACATGGATGAATAAAAGTTATTCTGACTTAATCTAGTGCATGTATTCTTTTAGGTAGTGATTAGGATCAGGTTCTTTTCTTGTAACAGTAATTTGTGACTTAAATTCCAAATATATTTGGGTTTTGGAAAAGAAACTGGGAAGACAAGTAAAAGTAATGTTACAAGATGGCAGTTTTTATTTGATGAATTAGGGGAATTGAGATCTGTGTAGAGTAAGATTTCCATGTATACATCTAGGAAACACTTCTGGAATGCCACCTACATTATAATTTAGATTATATGTTGTTGTATCAGTTCAGAATGCTCATAGTTACATTTATTAATCTTTTATGTTTTCTGCATATTTACATTGAAGTTTTTCTTCTTTTATTCCTATATTATTATTCCTATAATATATTATTATTATATAATTCCTGTAATATATTTCTTTTATTCCTGTATACTCATAGGTTTGTGTCTATATTAGAAAAATTGGGCCGGGGATGTAGCTCAGTGGCACTGTGCCTGCCTTGCAAGTGCAAGGTCCTGAGTTCGATCCCAGGTACCAAAAAAAAAAAAGAAAAGTAATCTCATTAGTATCCAAGTAGGAGTACTCAAATCATATAATAATTTGCATTTAGCTATCTTCATTATTTTGTGTATAAAAGGATTTTTCATTTTGTTAGTAATTTGGGGCTATTTTGCCCCCCCAAAAATAATAAAGGGCTAGTTATAGACCTGTGGGTGGGATTAGGATGACCGCAAGAGAGCCTGGTACTCCTGAGCTAATACAGTAACAGAGCAATTTCTGCTCTTAGACTCAAAGGCCAAGGAAAAGGAGGGGGTACTAGAATCCAGAAAAAGCAGTTTTAGAGAGTCATCTTGGGAGAATCTAGGACCTTGGTCAAAGGACACAGTTGGTTGGAGCACAGTGCCACAGAAAGGGAGCCAGGGGTTAAGTTTCCTCACTTAAAAAAAATTTTCATCTCTCTGTATAATCCCTGCCCAAGGCGCTCCATTGACCAAACCCAGGCTGAGGCCCAGTGAGCCCTGTTGATGGCATCAGTTTCCTAGGAGACAGCAGGGTAAAGAAAGATGGAGAAAAAATTGGGAGGGGCAAATAGTACAACAGAAGCTTGAGGTCCAGGAGAGATTGATTTGGAAATCTTTCTCATTTGAATCCATGGAAATAAATTCGATCTCCAAGGGGAAAGGTTGTTGAGAAATTTGCCTATGAGGGAAGATTTTTTTTTTTTTTTTTTTTGCAGAGAGAGTCTCACTATGTAGCCCAGGCTGACCTCAAACTCATGGCGATCCTCCTGCCTCAGCCTCCTGAGTGCTGGGATTATAGGCCTGCGGCACCACACCTGACCTATGGGGGAAGATCTTAAATTCTGTGTTTGTCTGTGATAGAGAACACAAGGATGCAGAATTAAAGAATTACTCTTAGGAGATGCTTATGTTTTAGAGAACAGAAGAGCCAAGGAATGGTCTAACAAGAGAAAATTCTGGGCGCTGTGAGCTTAATTTTTTTTTTTTTCCTTTAAAAGCTTTGTAGGTAGCTTTCTGTACTAGAAACGGAAAGAATATTGAGTTGGAGTAGTTCTGGTCTCAGATTTCTCTGTTATTATTTAGCAGGACATAAACTTCACTGTTATAATAAAACTGTTCCACTGTCATGAAAGAGAAATTCCGGTTTTTGAGAATTCTATAAAAGAAAGCACAGTGCTTGTGACATATAAATGTTTCCTTGACTTCATTAGCACTTTTCTATGTGTCTTCAAATGTGGACAGGTATTTATGCTTTGAAGAAGAATATTTGTTTAACTTGTTTATATCTGTATTATTTTTTCTTCTTTCATTCCTACTTGTAAAAAATGCTTCATACGGGCCAGGGATTTAGCTCAGTGGTTTCACCACCTGCTATGCAAGCTCAGGGACCCGAGTTCAATCCCCGGTACCAAAAAAAAAAAAAAGGCTTCATACTTTGATTTATACTTCTTCCTTGTCCTTCCTTAACTTACTGTGCTCCTGCATCTACGTTTATCCTTCTACTGAAGGTTTTTTTTGTTGTTGTTGTTGTTTT